GTGTCAATAATTTGGTGGCATGGCACGTACGTACGCTTTGAAGGCAAGAAGGGCTTTAGCATCAAATTGGCGCTCTATTATTTCTAGTCGTCCATGCCGTGCACTGTGTACGCTGTCATATAGGTAGATAGATCATGGTAGGTTCTTTGCTAGGTCCGGCGATCCTAGTCGGACAGGGGCATGGGCGTTGGATCCGACCCGGTCCGTGGAGGGAAATCTGGGGCCTGCACCGCCGGGAGGGAAGAGGAGGCTGAGTCAGCCGGCCTCGGGATCCGCCGGATGGGGGGTGGGGGGTGGCACCGGCCCGGCGCAAGTGGCGCTGCTGGCGGAGGGAGCACGGGCCCTGGCATGGCGGTAGGCTGGTGGCTGGTACGCGGTCCGAGCTGGCCGGATGCCCAGACCCAGACCCAGTGGGGGGTGGCACAGCTGCACGTGGGGCTGGCCGTGGCCGTGGCCGGCCCGGCCCTCTGCCGCGGCCACGACGGCAGGACGGTCCGCCACGTGCGCCCCCCAGTAGACTAGTCCCAGGTCAGGTGCCTCGGCCGCATCGCCGGATCACCGCCTCCCGTTGTTCTTTTGGAGGTTCGAGGTCGCAGCCCGAGCGTGCCCCCCGAAAGGCCCAACGGGCGCGTGCACGACCAGCGGTCGCCTTTGTGACGAGACGGGCGAGCGGTGGAGGGCGGCAATCATGCCGGACCGGACCGGACCACTCGACCCACCCCACCCCCGCACGGCGCACGGCGCCCACCCCTGCACTAGGGCACGCCAAAAGCCGGACCGGGGACGCGCAAACCCAACCGCGCATGCCCCCCGCCCGCCCGGCCGGGCGCAGCGCCATGTGCCCGGTCTCGCTGCCGCCGGCCGGCTTTCCTTTCCCACCCCTCTCCGGCAGCAGTCTCGTTGTCCCACGTACGTACGCACCTGCTTACCGACAGAGTGTCTCCACTGAACCGCTTTCGATCGGAGCGCAACGCATGTCCCCTCACCAACAAATCCTTGTTGTTTGGTCAGATTTTTCTCTCCTCCACTCAGTCTCCTTCAGCCCGGTGGCACGCACGTACGCACGCCAACTCGGACTTTTGCTCCTCGCCGGCCGGCCGTCGACGGCGACCTCCCCAGTAATCAACTACGTGCGCCCGCCCGCCTGTCGCTGTCTCCGTGCACACGTTGACCGACTGTTGAGGGCTTCGGGCGACCTAACCTAACACGCACGCGATGCCCGGGGTTGGTTAGGACCTCAATAGATCAACACGCTGAGGCAGACGGGCTGAGGGAGACCTGATAAACGCCCAAGTAATTAAACAGGCTTCCGTTTTCATCAGCCGGGAACGTTCCACGAAACGCACAATTATGAGGTAAATGCACCCCAGGTACCCTAACTTGCACAGAATGTGATGTTTTAGTCCCAAACTTGCAAAGTGCAACTCCATCATACCCCAACTTGCACTGAATGTGATGATTTAGTCCCCGGCCTATCAAAGCTCAACAAGTGTCCCCGGCCTATCACTGAATGTGATTTTTTATGATATAGTCCCTGGCTGCCACTTGTCGAGCTGTGATAGGCCGAGGACTAAATCATCACATCCGATGCAAGTTGGGGTATGATGGAGTTGCACTTTGCAAGTTTGGGACTAAAACATCACATTATGTGCAAGTTAGGGTACCTGGGATGCTTTTAACTCCACAATTATTGATTGGGTCGTGGAAACCCTCGCGACTGGATGTAATGTAACTGTGCGGGCAAAAGGATCGACGAGACAAGCCACGGCAAAGTTAAAGGAAGCTGACGAACAGCTCTCCACTTGAAAGTTGGAACCAAGACCCGTCAGTGAGTCACCACAGTGTAAACGTACTGCCGCACTGCTGCTACCCACTTCGTGTCTCCATGTCTGCATGCTGAGCCTCTCGAGTCTCGATCCTGAGACAAAAGTTGTGATCTCAACTGTGTGTGACAGGCAAGCGGGAGACGGCCGAGCGATCGATCATCCATCGATGTGTCGCCTTGTCAGTGTTGCCATCTCCGTTTCCTTTACTACGATATCTTTGGGCGCATGACGGAGAATGTTAATTAAGATAGTTATTGGATAGACAGCGACCGGGAGGAAGTAGGTCTCGCGAGGGGGCGTCCAATCCGATTTCCGATCCCATCCTCGGGAGATCGGAGCGAGATCGTCTTCGATCCAGGCGGAGACACGGCGCAGGCGACTGCTGATTGCCTCAGCTCCAGGGAATATAATCTCCATCCATCCATCCATCCATCCGATACCGATGGCTTTGCCCAGGTGCGTGTCGCTGTCGCCTGTCCTCCTCGACCCACCATGCATCAATGGTGGAGCCCTTGTGTTCTTGTTCTTCCCATGGCGGTCGACCCATCACATACAACGTACACTGACACGCATACACGGGAAAGCGGAAAGGAGGAAGCAGGGGAAGATGGGAAGAAGATATCGCACCACGCCACGCCACACCACACCACCGTAAAGCGCACGCATGCGTTGATAGAGAGATTTACAAGATCGCCGTGGTAACACTTTACATTCACGCCTTATTCTGAACCTATATCAGCATCTGTCTGCAGGCTCGCTCTCTGGAATGCACTGTACAGATTGATAAACATATGTTGGTTTGGTTCCTTCAGTGCTCATTCTGAACCTAATAAGTGCACATCTGTCTGCGGCTCGATCTCTGTACCGTGTTACTGATTGATGATCATGTAGTAGCTACCTGGGTTCCTTCAGGTCTTATTCTGAACTTGTATATATTTACACATGCCAGCAGCTCGCACTCGCTGTACTGTACTGTTCTTAGTACAGGTTAATCGGCGGCGTGTTGTTTGGCTGGGCTTAGTTGACGTGTGAGCGATGCCACCCGTGCACGTTGTTCGCCGTCGCGCCGTGCCCGTGCGCGGCGGTGGTGGCGCCTTTGCCCCTGGGGATCTTCCGGAGCACGCCGGAGTCCATCTTGGCCAAGTGGGTACGGACGTCGCGCGCCCCCGTGGCCACCAGGTGCTCCACCTCGTGCTCGTACCGCTCGTACAGCGCCGGCACCGTCATCGTGCACAGCACAACTGCCAAACACAAACAAAGATAGTATCATCAACGGCCAGCTCAGTCCATTGCATTCAGAAAACCGGCGATTTCGGCTACTGAGGATGTAGATTGCTTACCGAGGTAGAGCAGGGTGAGCGAGCTGAAGCAGGTCGCGACGACCGACGCGATGTAGATAGACACCACCGTCTGCAGTAACGGTGTGTATGAGTTTATCAGACTTCAGAGTTGGGGCATAGATCAGATCAGGATTGTAGTGAGGTGGGCTGGTTACCATGATGAACTTCTTGATGTCCTCCCCGCACGCGATGGCGTACAGCCGGTGCGCGAACCAGGTGAGCCGCCGGTGCAGGCCCAGGATCACCTGCTTCGCCGTCCTCTCCGACAGGATCGTCTCGGGGATCCGTGGAACCGGCCTGCATGCATGCAGTTCACGATTCTGCATCAAGCCCTGAAGCTAATCCTGAAACAAAACCGTGAGGCTGAAGAGATGGGGTTTACAGGTTCAGGAAAGCGGAGGCGTTGGTCCAGATGAAGAAGGTGAGCATGGCGATCATGGCGGCGTAGCACGCCAGCGTCAGGAAGTGGTACTCCGCCACCTCGAACAGCGCCCACGCCGCCGTCGCCGCGCCGAGGATCGACGCCGACGCCTTCGGCCTCCTCCACAGGATGATGTCCGCAGCTGCAACGCAACGCACGCATATTATCAGTTCAGGAACCAGGAAGCTGACCCTCGTAGCTCTGCAAGAATGTACAGTAGTTTGCTAGCCACCTTCGCGTCCACCCAGGGCGGCATGGACCGGCCTTTCCCTGCCGAACAGCCTCGGCGCCCGGTGCCCCTGCAAATGTGATCCTCCTCCCGTTGCCATTTTGGTGTTGGTTTGAGGTTTTCGGTGTGCAGCTTGCCATTGAGGTTGTGATTCTTATAACCTGAATGTGCATAGGCTTGGAAACTTTGGCGACCTTCGAGGGAGAAAGCAAAGCATAGCTTTGGCTCAGGTCTTTGGTTTGATACTTTGGCGTGCAATCTTGTTCAGCAAAAATATACTTTGGTTCCCAGGTGCCTTTTGGAGTTGGGATCTGATCCAAACCTTGTGATTCTGGATTCTGCGGATAGATAGACCCGCGTTCGGTTTCTCTTTAGGGAGGAAACATGGGTTCCTTGCCCTACAAATGACTCTTCTTATTCAGAGAGGGTAATGTAAGCCAGTGCATCCTCGTTGGATTATCAAACACGCTTGGAACTTCAACCCTATAAGAATTGTGCATAAGGCTACAAACCAACGTTCACTCCAGTATTTAGGAAGCACCAGAGATCATGTGAGCCCGAGCTCACCATTAGGACACCGAATGGTTAGCACGCCATCCTAGCCGGTCATATAAATTCACACGGTCATCCCAGTGTATGCAAGCGTCATCAATAGTATCCAAAGTATTTTGCAGTAAACAACTTCTACAACCCTATAAACATGCCTATTTTTCCTAATCAAGACTGGCAAACTAGGGTGTGCCGCTCAACGAGTCCTCGTTGTTGGAAGTCATTCAACATGTACAATAAAGTTGTCGCAAGTAATTGACCCAACAACCCTCTTGTACATAGATAGCGCTTTCACTTTCTATATAAACAACCCATCTTCATCAAAGCAAACAACAAAATATCTTCATCAAAGCTCCAACATCTCATTTATCCATATTTTACACTTCGGTGATATAAACTCTTCAATTTTATTGTTTTTGTATAGTGAATGGTGATGGCAATACACACAAGCAGAAGAAAGAACATACTGAAAACCAAAATGGTACGTGCTGCTGACGATGCGTAGGAATAAGAGACATAGGGAAAGAACCGGCCACAAGACCGGGTGTAGGAGATAGTATCTGTGTTCTGAAACCGGCCAAATATTTCAGAGCAGGTACTGAAACCAGTTGCTGTTGCATAAAAATGAGTGGACAACTTCTAGAATCCTATAAACGTGCCTATTTTTCCTATTCAAAATAGGCAAACCAGCGTGCGCCGTTCAGTGAGTCCCATGCAACCAAATGTGTTGGAAGCCATTCAATATGGACAACAAAGTTGTCGCAAGTAAATGGCCCACCAACCTTCATTTGTAAGTACTTAGTGCTTTCCCTCCCTATATAGGCAACCCATCTTCCTCAAAGCAAACAACAAAATCCACCATCTCATTTATCCATATTTGACACTCCGGCAGTTCAAACCCCTCATTTTCAGTATTTTGGTATAGTGATTGGTGATGGAAATCCCCACAAGCATAGGAAAGAACAGTCTGAAAACCAAAACGGTGTATGCTGTAGGCAATGCGCAGGAATAAGAGACACGGGGAAGTATATACGAGCGTAGCAGATGCTTTCTCTGTTCTGAAACCAGCCAGATACTTTTGTGGTTCTCCAACATGTCGTTGTTGCATAGAAATTAGTGACAGAAAAATCTACTGCCCCGGGGAACACAACCATTCGAGCATGTGTTAAGGGAGGTGTATGGTCCTGCACAGGGATGACCCGTTGTCGGTGTCAAAACCGGCGGATCTCGGGTAGGGGGTCCCGAACTGTGCGTCTAGGCGGATGGTAACAAGAGACGAGGGACACGATGTTTTTACCCAGGTTCGGGCCCTCTTGATGGAGGTAAAACCCTACGTCCTGCTTGATTAATATTGATGATGTGGGTTACAAGAGTAGATCTACCACGAGATCAAGGAGGCTAAACCCTAGAAGCTAGCCTATGGTATGATTGTTGTTCGTCCTATGGACTAAAGCCATCCGGTTTACATAGACACCGGAGAGGGCTAGGGTTACACAGAGTCGGTTACAAAGGTAGGAGATCTACATATCCGTATCGCCAAGCTTGCCTTCCACGCCAAGGAAAGTCCCATCCGGACACGGGACGAAGTCTTCAATCTTGTATCTTCATAGTCTTGGAGTCCGGCCGATGATGATAGTTCGGCTATCCGGACACCCCCTAGTCCGGGACTCCCTCAGTAGCCCCCGAACCAGGCTTCAATAACGATGAGTCCGGCGTGTATGTTGTCTTCGGCGTTTGCAAGGCGGGTTCTTCTTCATGCTCCATGTGTTTGCCGGATAGTGTTCGGTTCCTTCATAAATTCTGCGCTCCTTGGCTTCCGCGTCCAATAATGGTCTTCTTCCACGCGTCGCACGAATGCGAAAAGCCAGGGTATTTTTATGTTTTACCCCCTAGCTGCGTAAATAAGCTGCCTATAAGAGAGACGAGGATCCAGATCCAAATCACATCATCCTTCTTCCGCAAGCACTCATCGAGGCGCATCTGACACCAAACCCATTCCAACATGGACAGTCGACGCGGCTCCTCTTCTCGCGCTCCCAGCCCTAAGCCAGGAGATTGGAGGAGATGCTCAGTCCCGCACAGCGAGTTAGTGACGCTCCAAGCAAAGGGATATCTTCCCCCGGCCTTCATGGTTCCGGTTCGAGCCGGACTGGCCACCTACAAAGGTGGGAAGCAGGCGGAGAGCGCCCCCAATCCCTCCAAAGGAGAGCGGGTGTGCTTCGTCTCCTACTTATAAGGAGACTCGGATTTCCTATACATCCGTTTCTCCGGGGGCTCCTGGAATTCTACGGACTCCAGCTTCATCACCTTACACCTGCCTCCATTTTGCACATCGCGGGCTTCATAGCTCTGTGTGAGCTGTTCTTGGGCATTGAGCCCCATTTTGCACTGTGGAAGAGGCTGTTTTGCCTCGTACCCTGCTCTCACGAGGGGTCGATATATCAAGTGGGCGGAGCCGAAATATGGCGCATCACCGGGACCGGATACCTGTCCGGGACCCCGAAGAAGGCGTCCAAAGATTGGCCTTCGGAGTGGTTTTATATGGAGGACGCTCCGCTGCCGGATCCAGTCCGGATCGGCCTTCCGGAGTTCAGCAACGCTCCCCTGAAGAAACGCCTAAGTTGGCGCCCACGGAGCCCTCGACGAGAAGATGATAGTAGCGTCCATTACTTGATGGGCCGGATACGGCTGCTAGCCCATTCCGGATTAACCATGATCGGAGTCGTGGCCACATGCATTATGCGTGGGGTGCAGCCGCTCCAATATAGGGGCCACCCCATGTGGGACTTCAACGGAGACGACGACGCCACCCGTCACGGCCGCAAGGGACCTGGCTCGGCCGACGATCTGGTGAAGATCCTGTCCGGCTTGTACAAGGGGGAGAAGGAGGACTTACTCCGCACGAATCCTCTGAAGGATTTTCCATGAACAACCCTCGGAGCTGGGTAAGCGGTCGCATGCATATCTGAACCGTGCCTCTAAAGGCAATTGTCTTATTGTATGATTTTGACACAAGAACTGCGTCGGGATGTGGAGGGCATAAAAAGCCCAGCCCCACAACCCGAAGACCCAGAAAGGTCCCTTGATCTGGCCTCTGAAGAGGATCCAGACTTAGCGGCGGAACTGATCGACGGGGTGTACCACCAGCTCAGCATAGATAATGCTTTAGTCGCCATTATGGCTGACTACCCCGGTTTGTGTCCGGCTTCCCCGGTGAGTATGACCGAAGTCCTGGCGCCGTTACTTCTTTAATGCTTAGTTCTGACCACCATGCACCAATGGTGTTCGACAGGAAGCGCCTTTACGGCAGGAACGAGCCCGCGGCGACCGGCCAACAAGAGTCAGTCCGGCCCAGCAGGCGGAAGAGGAGTGCGACGCGAACTGAAACGTCGCCGCAACGGTACAGAGCACTGCTATTTTTTAAGGGAAGGATTCCCAGGAGGTATATTAATGCTCATAACTTTTCCAGAAAGAGCGCTCGCCGGACAGTGTCCGGAGAGGTTGCCAATTAAGCCTCCGCCAGCCATGCTCCAACGCATGGCCCGGAAGGGAAGGCGAATACAAGGCATGAGTCGGACGCTCCTCCGACGGAGGATGCCGACAGGCTGTCCGCCACCCGGTCTGAGGTGGAGAGCGCCATGAATCACAGGCGTCGCCGGACAGTTCTTCGTGACGCGTGTTTCTCTCCGGAGGCGTTAAATGCCTTTGATGCGGGAAACGCGCACCTCCGTGCCGCTCAAGATGGGTTAACCAGAGCCACGGAGCAGTATGTGAAAGACATACGTGTAAGTAATTTTAATAGTTATATATGCCAGTAGCCCTCGAGACTTAAAATGGTTAAAATAACTGATTTAAGGATCAATTTTTATGCAGGAACTTACGGAGAAGAATACCCATCTGTCCCAGGAGCTCCAAGAGTGCAAGGCCCAACTTGAGGCCGCACTGGCCGCCACAGGGGGAGCCACATAGACCCCCGTTGGTAAGACGTACTTTGAAAAGATAATTAATTAACAAAGTGCGGCGTGAATTTGACAATAATATTGCAGAGGGCGCCGGACTAGATCCGGACAAGCAACAGCTATTGCGTCAGCTAAAGGCTGGCGAGAGGGTGCTTATGAAGGTGCAGCAGGAGAGAAACAAGCTCCAAGATGCCCACACCCAGCTAGGAGAAGAGCTGAAAGGTGTTCGGGCCCAGCTGTCTGGCTCCTTGAAGGAGAATCAGCGACTTCATCGCGGCATTTATAATAAGTGCTTGAGCAAATTCCTTTGAAAATAAGAATTCGGCGAGGAAGTCGTTTGACAGAAATATGTCTTTAGGTGTGCTCACAGGTCGCCCTGCGGAGGAAATGCCTGGGTCAACAGGTGACCAACTTCCCGAGCTGGTGCAATTGTTCGAATGTGTTCGGCAGACGATGAGTGGCGTCGTTCAGGTTTTATGGCCATCCGTCTCCCTACCCGAGGGCCTTGGTGAGCTTGCCGAGAAGCTCCAGGGAGCACGGCGACGCCTCCGTTTGTGGAAGATATCGGCCTGCCGTCAGGGCGCCAGGGAGG